CGCTCTGGAAATTGCACCTAGCTCATGTAAGCTGCAATTGATTTAAAAGTGGTGACTATTCTCAGTTGCGATCTCTGAGCAGGCTTGAATACACTGAACTTTGTATAAATTTGCTGGGCTTCTCTGTAGAAGTGTTTCATTAATGGGAAGCTATGGTTTTCATTTGCAAATTTTAATGGGTCTGTGACCTCCCGCGGTATCACTTTGGATCTCCTACAGAAACTAATGGCAGTTGCTTTAAGACAGTAAGTCTTCCTAAGAGTGCCTATGTGCTAAGACTTTCATGCAGCTTTGAAGATGGCTGTGAATTGTGTTAACACCCACAGTGAACAAATACTCTTCAGATACAGTGTTTCTGTACAAATTGGCTCTAATTCCCACCAGAAGCAGTCATTGCCTGCCATGTTTCGGATCTTCAGCCTCCATTGTGGTATTCTTGCCTCCAGTCTCAGCAGCTATGTACAGCTGTGAAAAAGCAGAATGTATTAATCTAAGTCCACCTGGATACGTAAGTCTTGAGAACTTTTGCAGAAGAGCTCAGGCCACATACAAACTAATTCAACATAGCTCTGTGATGTCTTACAGGGAAACCTTATCAGCTGAGTGAAATCTGCCTGCCAGGAAGCCCTGTGAAGTCTTCCATCACCTTGTATCTTATACTTCAGGACCTCAAAGTGGGGGCAAGGGAGCAATTAAAAAATCCGGACTCATTATGCAGCACAGCCAGTGATACTTGATCAAAACCTCCTGGTAAGCCAAGCTTTGCTGTGTTTTCCCCCCATCAATGCATGGCAAAATGCTTTAGCTTTGCTTCAGGCTTATTGTGCCTCTAGTAAATGTTATGCTGCAGTTGTTGCCTGAGCTACAAATACAGCGAGTGCTGTTCTGCTACAGTTGAGGTAATTCTACTCCAGTGAGTTGCACTGATATTTTGATGCAGAGTGCAAATGTGCAGTGTTATGCTGCTTACTGTCTTCTTGCTGGTTGTATGTCTTCTGGGATGGTTATTTTTTTGGTCAGCACCTTCACAAAGGTCAAAATAGCTTTTCTCTTAGTCCCTTCAGAGCTTGCTGTGGCACTGTTAAAATAGCCATACATGTGAATGCTCTCTTTGCAGTGACTATGATTCTTTGCTTGCCAGCCTTGATCAGCTGGCAAGAAATTAAAAATGGGGATTTTGTGTTTGGTACAATCAAGTCCCATTTGTGCTTGTAATGTAATGGGTGTATCTCAAAAAATCTGTCCCCTTTAGTCATAATTACAGTTACACTGTTAGTCTTGTACATAACTTTGCTGCAGTAGGGTCCAAACATTATATTGATGGGACCATATGACAACAGGTACCTCCCTTCCTGCAATGTAGGTAACATGAGAGGCTGCCCTACAGAAATATGAGGTAGTCCAGACAGGTCAGCAATACCTAGGCATTCAGAGAAGCAAAATTATTGCTGCAGTGAGAACTTTGGTTATACTGCAGATCTTTTCTCTTAAGATTATGAAACTTACACTGAATGGACAACCAAGGTACTGCACGAACTTGACGGAAAAACAACTTACATAATACATTAATTACTAGGAACATTAATTGTTTATAACACAGAGGACCTGGTTGCCTGGTGAATCTGCACCTTCCAAAAGAAAAGCATATTTGAAATTAGCCAAATGCCTGTAAAGATTTCTATTAATATTATGCATACAATATTCTACAAGAATCATGTAGCTATAGGAGAAATAATATTTTAAAAAAATGTTTATCAAATGAAAGTGCATTTGAAAAGAACTTTTAAATCATAATAGAATTTCTAACTTTTGTGAACATACTGAAGTGAAACCAATGATGTAGCTCAGATTTCTGCTCCTAGGGTGAATGAATATTACTGATAGACCTTTCACAAGTGGTAGGCTGCAATGTATGTGTGTTTTAAAGCTCTATCTCTTTGCTACCGCATTCTACAACAGTGTAGACTTTTGACAGTTACCTTAGTTACAACACAGTAAACTAGTAAAGTTAGTCTTGCCTGAAACTCTTCAGTGATTTGAAACAGAGGACTGTTCTGCTACAACAAAAATACTTTATTTTAGAAATATATTGTGATTATTATAAAAATAATGTTGCCAGTATTGTCATCTTGGACTCAATATTTTTGTAGCTTGTATTTACTGTTTTTTGAATTAAAGCAAAATGACATTAGGTACTTCAGTCCAAAGAAATAAGTAAGGAACTGTGAACTTCATCTTCTTAACCAAGTTTTTAGACAGCTTTCATATCTTCCTCTGTTTGCTTATCCTTAAAATCAGATCATTATCTTCCATTGCCTTAAAAGACTTGGTGGTCTTGTAAATGTGAAGGGTTGCATTCAGGATAGCTGGAGAACGTGTACTCTCAAAAAGACTAATGAGAGAGCAGTACTAGAAAAACCTACATATGGAGGCATAATCTTTCTTTCTGATTCAGGTTAAGGGTGACCAAAAAGCTTCAAATGCAATTTATTTTTGTCTGGATGCCAGTTGGACTTACAGTTTATATAAACCTGCCTTAGCCACGGAAGACAGTGGAGACTGTGCAGAGCTTTGTATGGATTAGGGAATCATGGAAGAAAAAATAGTATCTGACATGAGTTTTCCAGTTAAGCACTATAGATCTTGCAGCATGGGGTGCAACTTGTTGTTGTATAGTCCCCATATTTTCACCCAAAGTGCCATTTGAGGAAGGCTACATTAAGGCATCTATAGGCAACTCAACAGTATTGCAATTTCACGGTCTGTCACAATGCCAAGGCTTCCTATATGCTGGTGTTTGGTTTGCACTATCTGAATGCATTTTCTAGCATCAGAGAGGCTACTGATGCTGGAAAATAGCTGAAGAAGATGAACTATGGTCTACCTTAAGGGTGGTTTTCATTGTACTGCTGGTCCCAGGCTAGATTAGAGATTAGAGTGTTGTTAGGACAAAGCAAAATAGCTAGCAACTATAGCAGCTCCTGCATACTGCACACATCAGTGCCTTCAAAGTGAAAATTCATACATTCATGGCTCTAGAGAACTCTAACCCATAAGCTCTGTGTTTTCATATTCATAATATTAGACTGATGAAACATGTGGAAGGGCAATCCTGAATATGGAGGGACCTCTGCACACTGTTACACATAGGGTTTTTCCAGTTTGAAGGAACACCTAAGTCAGCATGACTAGCCTGGGCTTTTGAGAGCATTTGTTGTCATGGGTGCTAACACCTTCTGCAGCTTAGCTCTTGGACCAGCCCTGGGTCTCACCAAACGCAGCTTACAAGTGTGTGCAGAGTTACAGTTGGTGATTGCTGGCACTTAAAAGAGTCGTCTGTGACTGAGGCAGTGATAGGAAAACTATATCCTGGACAGAATTAATCTGCCTTAGCCATGAGCTCATCCTTTCCGACTCATCTGCTGAGTACTTTCCAGTTCCTACAATGGGCACAGGAGTTGGTTTTAGCCCTTTTCCTTGCACAGCCTTGATTCATTCTGCAAGCAGCTTCATCCCATGATCTGAAGGAGGAAGGTCCTGCGCAGAGCACTGCCTACGAACACATACGACTGCCCACAATAGTGTGTATAAGCACACCATGGTAAAGCTGCAAGGGCGATAGCAACTCCCTCACTTCTTGATTTCCAAACACTTTACTTCCCAAATTTTCATTTGTGAAGCCTAGCCATGACTTTCCAGGCCCCTATTATACTCTCTGGTGTATAATACTTTTAAGTGCAACAGCTACCTTTATCATATTGAACAGTCACTGCCACACAAGTAGTCCAAAAATTAATTAAACTGTGCTTAATAAAAAAAAAACACCCAACCCTCACTGTCCAGGATATACCAGTCAACTGCTTCATCTATTCTATTTCTTGCTTGGATGATTACTGTGTCTCCAAATTCCTGCTACTGCTTCAGAGAATATAATGAAGAAAGGTAATAAAATGCATTCAGGTATAATATCTTGTGCTATAGGCAGATGATTACCATTATACTTTTAAATATCTTTCTGTCTTTATACAGAATGCATTACACTCAAAATTAAGCATTATTTTTATATCATGAAATTCAATGAAAATATGGTACAAGTATGAGCTTATATAGGCATAAAATAACTGAATGAGTCATACAAGACTCCTTTTGATAACATGACTTCTAATTTTTTTTTACTTCACTCTGTCACAGCTCTTTAACTTCATCCTCCCTCAGATAATGCTATTTGAATAAATGGCTGTTTTCATGAAAAATCTCGTGACAAGGAAGAGTTACATTAAAATGACACCATTAACAGAAAGGCAACATAATCCTTTATTTTGTATGCGATGTTGGCAGTCTGAAACCCTTGACCTGTCCATATACTTTGGAACTGCTTTTTTTCACAGCTTAAAAATCCCAGCATTTTGCTTTCTAATACCTTAAAAGAGATGGAATAGGTTAGCTTACTATTCCCTCAGAGGCTGTTGAGTATCAGTCAGAGCCAGATTCAAAGCTAGATCCTAACAGATTTCAGGAGAAAGTGGGCTGAGATGTTCACTATTTGAAGAGCAGCTGGGATACCCTTCCAAAGAGTCTGCTTGACCCAAAACTCAGCTAGGATACTCTTGAGAGAAAAAAACACACCATAACTTTTCACAAAGTTGCAAATGGACCTGTAGAAAAGAAATGCTGAAAGCATTGTTTTTATTTCAAGCCTTAAGGAGAAGTTGACAGATAAGATAGAGATCATGTATATTGAACAATAAATACTTAAATACTCTTAAGAATACTAGTAAGAGCCAGTAAGATCTTCAAATGAAAATAGATTATTTTCTTAGGAAGAAACCTGTCTATTTCCCAGGCTTTCACTGATACTTAAGGTTTCTATCCATATCAGTATGAATACCATACTTTGAATGGTCATTGAGAACGTGTCCCTCCATTTGCCAACCTTATTTTATTATCAGAAGTAAAATATAGGTATAGTGATGTTTCTTACATACAGAAAAATAACACGTGTTCCAGTTCAGCAAAACTGCTGAGAACAAATACAGTTCTTCAGCCTATTTTATGGACCCCAACACAAAAGATGCCAAAGCTGGAAAATCTAATGTCTTGGAACATACTCAAATCATGCGAAGAAACAGATAGATACTGTAGGCTTCAGCCTTTGTATCAGTTTTCAACCAGTCTTCAGTCTTCATAAGTTTTCAGTTGTTATGTACTGGGTTCAAATACTAAAAAGGTGGATCTGAAAAGGAAGAAAACAGTTTATTAGATTGAAATCTTGCACACTGCCAGTTTAGAAACAAGTAGTACACAGAGGATTGGGCAAATTTTGAAATAATAATCGAAATCATGACAGAAATTATATTTTCTGTGAGGTGATGTAAATGTGATTGGCAGTCTCTGAGCATTATCCTGAAGAATCTGAAGAGAAAAATACTTAAACCCAGGACAAATAATTCCATGTTCTCTTACATGGAGTTATTCCCAAGACTGTATGCAAAATCACCTCTGCAGAGCTATTTGGCTCCACGTGTAGCAGCCATGACATTGACATCTGCCATATCCGCAAGTGCTTCTCCCGTGAAGAGAACAATTTTTAATGTTTTTTTTTTTACTTTCACAGATTTCTTGTCTCTTAACATTCATTATGACAGTTTTTGGTTGCCCAGATTGACACTACTGTCAGAGCACAAGTCAAAGTATTTACAGAGTACAAAATACAGAAAATCGTGGTATATATTGCAGCTGTAGCTGCTGTTTTGCCACAGTTCAAGTTCTCTCTGTGTTCAGGCATTAATGCTGTCTATGTTCAGAAACTACACCTTTCTGACTGCTCTGTGTTTCTTTGCAAGTTTAATACTCCTGATTAGTAATAGTGGAAAAGTTAATATTCCATTAGTAATGCTTATTCCCAGGTATTATGCAACAGTTTGATGATTTTTTTCAAGTTAGTAAAAATGTGTATATTTATAAATGTATGCATCTGTTCAGATAAATCAACCAACAGCTATGTGATATTGAAAACCGGAGACTAAGAGCAAGTCAATAGTGTTTTAGGAGGATCTAGGATATCAGAAGATACTGCATCTGACTGGTAGACCTTCTGTACCCCCCTGATGAGTCACCTCAGCCTTTGTTTTACCTGTTTCAGATCCCTGAAGGAACAGAAGATGGTACAACAGCCCCAGGGCCACCTGGAGTGCAGCTGTGAGGTCCCACAGCGACGCATAGCACATCTGCCAGAGCTCTGCTGCTCATTTTGCAGCCTGCTGGGTGTTAGCTCTTTCCGGTTAATGAGAATTGTGTTTTCCCTGGTGACTTCTGCACATCCTCTGTAGTATCTCTATGTGTCTCTGCTTGCCTCCCACTAGCTGACAAGCTTCTGTCCTTTGTGGCCAGCATTGCACAAAAAGGGCACGTGTAACAAGAAGTCTTGGCCTGGTCTTACAGCTTTGAGATGCGTGGGAATGCTTCTGCAGAAAGCTGTGGCAAGGCAAAAAATAAAACCCTCTGATCACAGAACAGTTGAGGCTGGAAGGCACCTCTGGAGACCATCTAGTCCAGCCTCCCTGCTCAAGCAGGGTTTACTAAAGCAGGTTGCCCAGAGCCATGTCCAGATTTTGGGACAGTTTTTAAAATAAAGAAATGAAGGCCAGAATAATCTCCAACATTTTTTTAAAGTTTTTTTTTTAAGTTTCGTTTTTATGGCTAAACCACTTCAAAATGTGGCAGGTTTTAGGGAGCCTATCCTCCTTCTATTCTTGGGGCCAGTCCAGAGAACCCCAGAAGTGCACCAGACCTTGTTCTGCAAGGGCACAGGGGTGTCACATAGATCAAATTCACATATTCTGGGTGGGTAAACTGTACTGACTCATAAAATGCACTTGAAAGTAGGATGGTTTAGTTTACGTTCTGTCCTAAAGATCTGTCATATTTAGAAAAATAAATCTTTATTCTTTTAAAATGAAAAGAATTAACCTTCTGTGCCACAAACTAATTTCAGCACAGCGTGGAGACTGACTGAAATACATTGATGCTTCTGAAAGTGTGGAGGACCCCTTGCAAAGAGTCAGCATGAAGTAACTGCATTGTGTGATTTTTCTGTTGTCAGGGTATGGCAAAAGAATCTTCAAGTGTTTCTGGAAGTTCAAGCAGTTTTTATATCACATTGGCATAAAAATATATGCTACTAAGCATCTGTATAAATGTACCTGCAAACAAAAAAAGTGTTTGTCAAAACCTGCATTCTATGAAAGAGATACTACATGGCTTAATTATGGACTGATTGTGTTTTAGGAAAAACACCTTTCCACCCTTTCTTGTCATGAGATGTTGCCATGCTCTACCAAAGACCAGCCCCTCCCTCCCTCCCTCCATTCTTTTCAGCATATTTCACATATATCCCTCCCATGCTTAGCTAATTTTGGGGGGTACGGGCTGTTTGGGGTGGTTTTGGCATCATACAATTGTAAAAATGTCCTATTTCAGCAATAATAAATGTCAGTCAATATGTTATTTAATTTTGAATCTTCCTTATAAGGGAAAGAACAATTTGCTTTCTGTGGAGAAGAAAGATGCTTTAAAGTCCAAATATTATAAGACTCCAAAGAATTAATCCAGAAGATAAACCAACAAATTCTTCTGAGGACATTATTGTTACTATAGAAACACGCCTACATCCAGAACTTCGTTGTGAAGTAAAAAAGGAGAATTTGCTTCATTAATCATTTTTACTCTCCTGTCACAACTTGGTTGATGGGGATGCTGGTAACAACCAGGCAGTGAGCCATGGAGGTAAAAGTATCCAGTAAAAATAGACTGAGCAAGTGGTTGTTCAGAGCTGGGGCAGAGGGGGCCTTTCCTTCAGCTACCAGGTTGTGTGTTACAGAACCTAACACCAAAACCTTAGTCATCTCCCACTAAAAGACACCTACAGCTTTGTAGTTATTGCTTCAAGATTAAAAATGTCAGCCTGCACCCCTTGCGAACCTGACATGGCACCCATGTCATCCCTTACTGGGAGCAAAGGCTGGCTTGCTGAGGTGACAGCTGGACAGCTGTGCTCTCTGGCAAGTACATTCACTTGGCTGGAGTTTGTTGGATTTAGAAGCCAGACAGGAACTAGGAGCACCCAAAAACATACTTTTTGAACTTCTCATTAGACTTTTTCTTGCTCTCTGTGAAGTAACACAGAAAATCTCATGTGAAGGCAGGAAAGAACCTTTAGGTACAGATCTTTGGGGCCAAGTTAGAAAGGAGGGGGCACTTGCAATATCCATTTCTAACCTGTAGATCTCCCAGCTTTTCAAGTAGCCAAGTCACATTTCAGAGACAGAAACAGACCAGCATGTGTTGTGGAAGAGATCTGCACTGCACTCCATCCAGCCTGGCTGTGCAGGAGGCCAGGGCTCCCCACGGACCTGCTCAGCCAAGGCACATCACCACCCTTGGCATCTCCTGCACCACGACAGACAGCATGCTGTTCCAGAGGGAGGGAAGCTGAGCTGCTGGCTCCTTCTTCCATGAAGAAGGTAAAATTTTGTAAAATTATGCAAAAGCTGACATGATTTCAACCATAGCTAAACTCTCTTGAAAGAATCTTCACAGAGTTTAATAAAGATTAAAGCGGTAGCCTGCTTGAGAAACTATTGTCATAACTAGAGAAGTTAATACAGAATACCTTCTCTACTGAGATATTTCAAGAACATAAATTTAAAAATGCATTTGGAAGGATGATTTAAGTTCTCCATGGATATTCAGTAGACTTTCTAAGGAGAACTGCCACAGAGAAAACCCATTAACTTTTTTATCAGACTCTCTAGGAATCTCCCATAAATTGATTAATATCCAAACCAGAAAGTGACTTTGCCTCTATTTCTTCTGGAAAGGAGCTTATTTCTAGCCTGCCCTGCCTCTTAGTCCTAAAATATCTTTAGCAACATACAGTCCTTTCTAAAAAAGATACTAAAAACTGGGTTTCTGCCAAAGTCATAATTAATAGTCAAGCACCAAGGCTCACATACTTGCCTCATTTTTTCTGTATTTAATAAATATATATTCTAATATGGATAATTTTAGGATAATTTTTATTGATGGCACAGAGGTAAAATGATTTTTATATTAATTAAAAAAAATAGAAACTGCTACCAAGTTATAAGATCTGAAATAATGAAGACTAAACCAGAAAAAAAAGAATACATTAATTTTCTTCGTGAGTGGTTTCTTGAAAATTACATTTCATGTAAACTTAAAACATGAGCTTTCTCAGTTGAGATTTTTTGTAGCTCTGGATTACAGAGATCATTAATACTGGTTTTTTTTCCTCTTTCCATGCAAATAGCTATGTACTGTAGTCAATACTCTTAGGCTCTTTGTGGACAAAATAAATAAACTACTTCTTAAAGTCTTTTGCAGTGATGAATTTGCTCCAGTCCCTGAACCACTTCACAGCAGTTCTTTATACTCATTTGATCAACATTCTTTAAAAAAATGGGAGTAGTGGAGCTGAATGCTGTATTGCTGTATAAGCCTCACCAGCCCACGAGTTCTTCTGCCTCCTGCACACTTTACCCCTAGACATCAGACCAGCCCATTTTGTGATACAATTACAGTAACAGCTCATAATCCCTGTGGAAGTGCAAGCACCCTTTCCCTCCACTGTAGCAGCCTGGAAAGGGTTAAAAGGAGCCCATTTCATCTTCTTCCCCAAATCAATTAGGCAGGACTGCACTACGAGGGAGCTCTCAAAGCAGTCCTGGAGAAGGGTGAAAAATGAGAAGGGTCCGTATGAGATCTACATGTAGGAAACAAACGTGAGAGAACCCTTTGCAGGCTCTCATGGGAAGGGTGAGGGACCTTATTTTAAGCAAAACTCCCCATGTGCCTCATACCAACCAAAAAGGAGGTCCAGAGTTTCCACTGAGTGGCATGGAGAGGGAAGAGTGAACTGATCATTGCTCTTGAAACTGCTGTTCTCTGGCAGCAGTATGCCTGCCAAAGCTCACATTAGGCTCTTTGTGGGGTAGTGAGGAAGTTCTTGATCCATGTAAATATTTTGGGATGCAGCTGTGGGGCTCACAGGAGCTGCAGGACTCTCCTGCATCTGCCAAACCTAACAGAGCTAAGGGCTGCAGCTTCCAGAGGTCCATCTGCTGCTGTGAAATTCCCACATGCTCTTGCTCTAATATCAGTCATGCTAATTTGTGGCCTCTTATTTGGAGCTAGGTGGTGGGATGATGGGTGTCTGTGTCCCAGGCACTCAGGGGAAGAGTGAGCTCTGAAGAGACCTTATTTGAAGCTTCTGCAGGTGTCTATGGGAAGAATGAAAGGCCTGTGCTTGTGCTGGGTAGCACAGCAGGTGAAGGCTTTTGGAGGAGATGCAGTGTGACCATAGGTGTGAGGTTTCAGCTCTGAGTCCCTCTTTAGGAGCAGTGTAATCAGCAGAACCGTGTTTCATGAAGCTCCCAGTTGCTGACAACTGGTGAGTACAGAATAACTGGTGTAGGTCCTGCAGCCTGCCCTCACGTACAACCTCTTCCTCTGGTTTGGTCTTGTAGTTCAAAACAACTCTCAAAACTTGGTAGTTGGCACACTGCAGTTGAGTGTGGGGGTAACTGTCTTTCCTTTTCCCTAGTTTGCCTGTTTAAAATGTACAAAATAAACTTTGCTTCTTGGGGTTTTGGATACACGCTGGTGAAAGGTTGGATATGAAAAGAAATGACTCACAGCAATTATCAGTTGAAACTAATACTTCGTTTTGAATCCCTGTTTCCTACACAATCTTACTATTGCAAGGTTCCTACATTAGTTGTAATCACAACTTTGAGGCATCAAATTTTAAATGAATCAGAACAAACAATTTCTCAAGCTGCCTTTTAAAGAAATATTACACTACTTGTTTTATACTTTTTTTTTTAATAAGGAGGTTTGGGTTTTTTTCTTTTTGTTGTTGTTGTGGGTTTTTTGTTTGTTTGTTTTTTTAATATCAATAAATGAAGTCTTGCTTTCACCAGGGAGACTGTGTTTTGTCAGAAAGCCAATTGTGCTTCTGGAAGTGTTAGGCTGTGAAATTTGCAGAAAGTGTTTGCATGGATGTCTGAGACCTAAACTCACCTGTAGTGTCATGGCTTATGCTGTGTAAAGCATTATGGTTTCCTTTGTTCTTCTTAATTTCATAAAGCTCTAATAATGGTCCAGGTTACAAAAAATTGCACAGATCTAGGAAAAAAGACATAATTGATTCATGTGATGAAGAAGCAAATTGTATCAAGCTAATTGACATCTTTCTTACTGCCCTACACTGTCCACCTAGTATTTTCTGAATATTGTACAAATTGATTTAAGTAAAGTATCTTCCCATGGGCTTGCTTGAAGAATGCCAACCATTTTATCATTTTATGTCAGTCATACCAGAAATCAAAAGGAGATATGTTTCCCAGTGAAGAACATGCCTATAAATTCACATAGACCAAGAGAAGACAATAGGCTGAAAACTGTGAGGGAACTGAAAAGGGAAGAAATAAGTTCTACCTGACTGTACCGTGTAAGACCCAGAGGTTCAGGACCCTCTTGTAGTGGTTATACCTCCCTTGCATAGCAGGAAGTAGTGGAGTGGAATTTTGAAATAATGTGAATAAAATAATTGGTCTCATAAGATTAGAGGGAGGCAACTGCATATACTGAGGCATCAAGGAATAAATATTCTTGCCTGAGTACATGTTTTGCTTCTGTTAAACTGTTTTGCGAGTCAGGCTTTTTTTTTTTTTAATAGCCTGACAGACCACAGGCAGCACATTTGTCTTTTGAAATTCAGACTAGGGGTGGCTAGGACTTCATGGCCTTATGTTGCACAGTCCAGAGACCCAGAATGTCGGCAGATGAGGGTTTGCATCTGTAGAGTACCTCAGTCAGTTCCTGCCCTTCTGGAGCAAAATGAAGACAAAGCCATCCTTGGAACTGATTCCATGGAGAAGAGGCTTTCTTTCTGCCTCCCCAGCCACCCACTTCCCCTGCCACACATTTAATGAGGTGCATACAAAACATTACTTATGAGAGGTGCACAACTCTATTAAGAAACTGTTGTCAGTATAAGTAAATTGGCATGCGCTCCCTCTCCTACCCAAAGAGGCAATAAGGATCTACAGAACAGGGTAAATAATCAAGATTTGTATTATGATTTGCCTTTGAGGTTTGTGTCAAATGCTTCAGCAATGGTTTTAGGCTTGATTTAATTCCCTAAATGTGTTAACAACTAACAACCATCGAGTTTGTTTTCTAATGCAACTCATTTAATGCACAATATAAAATACAGTAAGGATTGAATTACATGGGTATGCAATTATACTTGGAAAAATGTATTGCAATGAGCTTTTCAATTTATAGGCAGGAAATGAAGCTCTGTAATAATGTGACAACATAAAACCAGAGCAGTGAAATTGGAATCTAGTCCTTTCTTTTTCTAGGTCTACTATCAGGAAACACGACCTTGTCCCATTCTCCCTTCTATGTAGCTCAAAGAAGATTCCTGGTGAGAATCTAGCGAGAAACTGGTAATTTAGAGATTTAAGAAGAATGCATCATTGCCCAAAGCATGCAGGGGTATCTCGCTGTAGTGCTGGTGAGCAATAGGACAGTACTCTATGGTAGGTCAGCTCCCTCACTCAAACATAAGATCTTCTAGGATGTAAGCTCATATTTAATCACAGTAAAGCACCCCTCAGCACAGAACAATTTAAGAGAGTTTTGGAATCTGCCCTGTTCTGAGGTGAGATGCCATAAGATATACTTGTGAGAGGGGAAAGGACAAACTCACAACCCTCCCTGTCCCACACCAGACAAGACTTAAAATTTTAAGTCACAGAGGGTGAATGTGTTGAACCTCTTACGTTGCTTAATTATGAAAGTATGGTTTACAAAATACAGTTCAGATACCAAGATGACATGATAACACCAGTTTCATGTAATGCTTTTTAATAAAATATTTGATAGAAAGTAAGGCTAAAAGAAAACCAAATTGATAATTAATGAGTAAGGGATTCAGTCTTATCTTGGAGAAAGCACATTTAGTAGGAATTGTACCTACAGTATAATGTGTTCTTCATAATAGTGATATTCTCTGAAGAACAGTTTAATTTAAAGAATAAAATTAGCTCTATGTTTCCACAGAATACACTCTGGATTTCATGGATCGATATGAACACTTACTACCAAAGGGTATGATCTTCAGAGTAGAAAGAGCTGTCTGAATACTCTCACTAGGAATTGTGCTTCAGCTGAAGTAATTTTGGTTACTTTTGTGATCATCTAATTGCAGAGACTGTAAGACAGAGGGAACAAATTGAATGAGGTCTTTGCTGGTGAGGGTTGAGAGAGTCTGGAGCTTCAGTCTGAAAAGGGCTGCTGAAGGAAAGGCTGGGCTGGCAGAGGAGCTAGTCCCTGAAAAAGCCTGCTTCTGGGCTATAGCTGAGGATTTTATGCCAAAGTTCTGTTAGGCATATGAGAAGAAATACTGATAATGAATCTAGGATAGGGATTTCTCACGGAAAGTAGAGAAACTCTTGTTAATTACTAGCAAAACCACAACATCCAGCTCTTCATTTTAAAATAGCCCTAATTAAGGTACTTCTAGTGACCTCTTCCCTCAGAAGCTGATGGACTTAAGGCACTCTTCTAGCTCTATGGAAGATGTTTAATGTAATCACTGAATATTAATTGGCTTCTGTTACAGAATTGCAGAACTTAAACATTAATTGGATCAATGCTGATTCCTACTTTCAGTTACATAATTCTTAAATGAAGTTTCTTTGTACTTGTATAATTGTTTTCAGTAATTTGAGAATAGAGAGTATTTGCGGTCCAAGCAGTTGATTAAGTTGGAAAGGGAATCCACATATATAATGCATAACTGAGCTATAAAAGCTTTTGAATCAGTAATCTCTAGCAGGTACATCCTGTGTTATGCTGCTGTTAGTGTTATTTATGGTTTACCTGATTTAATAGGAGGAATATATTAACAATTTTTTAATGGTCTAACCAAGAAATATGAATGCTCTATTTTTTTCTCTTTGTGATCATAGAACCTATAACTAGTTGCTTATGCAATACAAATATTCATTGTGTTAACAAGAATTAGGATATGTATCTTTGTAATACAGAATACTGAATATTGAAGCGTACATGTTTCATGTGGAAAAACAGAAATTGCATAATCTGTGTTAGTAAAGAGGAACCTCACAGATGTTTCAGACTGTATTGTATATGAGACTAGACTGCTTACTAGTGACAACTTGCTTACTCCAAAGTCCTTGTTTCCTCTTTGCATGAGAGGATTTGATATTCATAGAGGAAAAGTGGGAGAATGATATATATCTTGCTAACATTGTCAGGTTATTGTTTGAGTTTTTACTCCTATCCGTAGTAAAAAGGAAGAATAACATAAAGCTGTTAATATTGCTTGCTTTGGCCGTGTGATCTGTGTGCTCAACATTGGCTGCAGGTGCTCTAGGTTTCTATTATCACTGTTGAGGGAACCCTTTTAGCCCATACTCATTCATTATTTCAAAGTGTCTATTTGGGCAAGCCGCACTTGATCTTTAGTTTGGTTGGAAAATAGATGTTGCTGTGTCTTACAAGCTGCAGTATAAAGTCAGTGAGATCTCTGCACTAGTTAATGCTAATCTGATGGAACTGCAAAATTAAGAGATCTGTCTTGCAGAGCTATGAAAGCTCTAAAAGAAAGCTCAACAAAGGGAACCTCTTTGCGGTCTTCTTGTATTTTCCTATGCACACTGGTTTCTCAGATTGTCCTCTCTTCCTATGCTTCAAGAAAAGCAGGAGGTGAAATTGCCAATCTTGATGTTGATTTAATAGTGCCTTTTTTTTCCTTGCTTTTGAAGACAGATAACCTACAGACAAGTATTCTGAAAAACCCTGTGAAGCCTGTTGAATGCATTGGAGATGAATTGTCTTCTCAATGATCTCAGAGCATATGCCTGACTTCAAATCCCAGTAATCCTATCTATCTGGCACTCAGAATGTTTATGCAACTCCCAGCCAGCCTGGGACTCCAGATAGCATTGAAAGCGTGGTGATTGAGTATTGAGCTCTTCCCTACATCCCTTTCTGAATGATGAACTGCAGTAGGTGACTACTGCTGAACATAGTAGTACATCTTCTAAAGTAGTCCTAAATAGGCAGTGGTAGATATACTCACAAAAAGCAGCTGAAACACCTTGGGAAAAGGTGTATTAGGTATCTATAAATACATTATTTCTGAAAAATTCCAATGAATACCTCCTCTTGTAACTGATCAAACTTTTCCAAAAACTAAAGACTTAAACCTAAATATTAACAATTGCATAACCACAGTACCTGCCCAAATTCTTTTCCATATTTGTAGATCTTCTATTTCATATGAAGAGTAGATAAACACTTTAATACTAGAAAACAGTAGTTTAACAGGGCTTTTAAATTAAAATTAACAATTGAGGTTCTAAGACTAGGTAAAACAAAGTTCTGGCTTTGTTTTTTTGGTTTTTGTTTTTTTTAATCACAGGATCAATTAGGTTGGAAAAGACCTCTGAGGTTGTCCAGTCCAGGCTATGACAGAACACGACCTTGTCAGCTGGACCATGGCACTTAGTGCCACATCCAGTCTTTCCTTAAACACTTCCAGGGATGGTGACTCCACCATCTCCCTGGGCAGCCCATTCCAAAGTCTAATCACCTCTTCTGTGAAGAATTTCTTTCTAATATCTAACCTAAATCTCCCCTGGTGCAGCTTAAGACTATTGCTAGTTGCCTGGGAAAAGAGGCTGACACTTCCACCTGGCTACAACCTCCTTTCAGGTAGTTGTAGAGAGTGATGAGGTCTCCCCTGAGCCTCCTTTTCTCCAGACTAAACAATGCCAGCTCCCTCAGCTGCTCCTCATAGGACATGTGCTCCAGACCCTTCACCAGCTCTGTTGCCCTTCTTTGGAAATGCTCCAGCACCTCAATATCCTTCCTGAATTGAGGGGCCCAGAACTGGACACACTTAATTTGTTAAGCTAATACGCTTCAAAAATCAAAATCTGAATGCAATCTTTCTACCTACAGAGTAATAGTTGAGTTTCCAGTTCAGGACAGAGTAGTGAAAAGTTATGTGGTTTTGTTAGGAAAAAAATTCTCTATAGGTTGCATTTTCTACATTAGAACAATTTTTCCACTTAACATCTCTGACATTTATTGATATCTATAAATGACAACTATAAAAAGCTTACTTGGAGAAAGACGATATTCTGGACTGCTTGAATGGTCAACCAAACGTTTTCAGAGGTGTTATTGCATCATTCATCTGAACGGGATTCTGGTGTTAAAGCCAATCAGTGGCAGCCTTTTCAATTTCCTCACAACTGATCAAAGCAGGCAAGAGGAGAGAAATGCTGTTAGATTTTTTTATAAGATCTTGATAATGCCTCCTTTAGCCTAGACATGGTATTTTGGTAAGTATTGCAAAGTCTGATCTGCTTTCCCTTCTATTCAAATGCATTTTCTCCCTGTTAATGAAGAGCATGCATGTGTCAATGTCAGCCTTGATGTACTAGCAAGCAAAACAATTCTTAGAATTCAAGTAGCTCAAGACTCTTCAATACCAAAATTCTTTTGTGTTGATGGATAAATAGAGAAGTGTGGTGGGCTGGCTCTGGCTGGATGCCAGGTGCCTGCCAAAGCTGCTCTATCACTCCCCTCCTCAGCTGGGCAGGGGGAGAAAAAACATAATAAAAGACTTGTGTCTTGAGATAAGGACAGGGAGGGATCATTCACCAATTACTCTAATGGGCAAGACAGACTTGATTTGGGGAAATTAGTTTAATCCTACATCAGAGTAGGATCATGAGAAAATAAAAACTAAATCTTAAAACACCTTACCCTCACCACTGCCTTATTCCTAGGCTTAACTTTGCTCCTGATTTTCTCTACCTCCTTCCTCATGAGCAGCACAGAGGGACAGAGAATAGAGGCTGTGGAAGAGTTCATCATGTGTTTTCTCTGCTGCACCTTCCTAGGGAGGAGGAAACAAATGAACAGATTTTATTATACAGCAAGAAGTGCTAGTAATTGGGTGTGGCAAAGTGTGGCAGCAGCAGAACCTTCTGCATGGAGCTTTGCGCTAAAATCACCTGTTCAAAGCCTTGTTTTTGCACCACCTGGAGGCTGCAGGCTGCTCTGAAATGAATCTCTCCAAACTCTGAGAAATGTCATTTTTCACTTATGTCTATTGAGATAGCCTAGTGTCTCGATGCTATTTAGCACCAAAACTCATTCCACCAGGATTGTCTTTTGATGCCTGTGTCCACTGTCACTACAAATAATGCCTTACATAAACTCAGCATAACGTTGCCAATACTATTACGGCAAGAAAGTCCTAAATTAAGCTCGTCTTCTTTTTCCCTCCTGTTCTTCCTGACAGCAAACTCTTGTGCTATTGTTGGAATGTCAAACTATTCTTACCTCCAAGTCTTTGATATTAGGTGAGCTCACCTGTGTAGACTGTTACTTATGGATTTTTGGGTTTGTAACCTCCAGTAAAAAGATCATGTTTGAAGCTTGACTATCATTTATTGGGTGTCACAGGTTAAATGCCAGAACTAGGAATCGGGCTTTCATTTACATGTCAAACACAAACTTTTGGTGATATTAATTAAATCTCTATCTTATGCTGTACCGTCATAATGAAAAAGATAAAGATGAAGCTACCTACAGCACAGAGAAATGTTTAGATAGAAATGATTCCCAGCTAGAAACTATCACAGAAGTACCAGTGACACGCAGGTTACTGCCAATTTCTACCAGCTTCTGCCACAAAACATCCAGTGTCACACCTCAGGGATCTCTTACTGTTTATCTTTAAATGGGATAGAAATTTAGGAATCACTTTAGCTCAACTTAAAATACATATTGCAAACAACTCTTTTGCACTTTTAACCAGGCACTTGATTCCCAACGTATATTGCCTGCCAGTCTAGAACTAAGCAACCAACATGAAGGAAGATAATTGCACTTCACCATCAAGGAGCTGTCATTGGAATGGCTTTATGACTTTGAGTGTGAGAAGATGTTATCTTGCTGCAGATAAGGTAAGACTGTTAATTCATGTTGATAATGTTTATAATTGCCTAGAAATTAATTAAACACAGTTTAAACATCTGGTTTCTGGAGAAAAAGGAAACTTCTCTTGTATTACTTTTCAACTACCATTTTCCTCTCAAACTATATTTAGAAAAGGAAAATCTAACACAAGTGCTTATGCATAAATGACTCAAATTCTGAACTGAGCTCATTACATTTGCATCTAATCATGGTCCATAAAGTTGGAGTGGTAGAGGGAAGAGGGGAGAGAAGGCAAGTGTTTGCAGAAGCTTCTCTACAGCTTGACAACTAGAGCAGAAGCTGCAAACCAGCCAGAACTAAAAGCTGCACAATGAATGACCTAGGTCTGCAAAGTTTCATCTCTTCTCAGGAGACGAGCAGAGCTGAAAGTTACCAACTCTCCTTTGAAGCACCAGAACGCTCTGGCCTCTTACTCGGTCCTTCTCCAGGTTCTTGGCTTGCTGCTGGAAAGAACAGCCTCTACACAAAAGCTTAGTCACCTGCCCACAACTCTGCAGCACTTGTCAGTCTCATTTTAAATGATGGTAGCTCAGCATTCCTACTAAATGTTGTTATGGTGACCGTGGAAATCTAATACTGAGCACTACATCTGTCTGCTTATCTACTGCTAATGATCCTGCTGTGTACAACTTCAAAAGGAAGGGAACCAATGGGTTGTTTTCCTCCTGGATGATCAAAGAGGACAGAGACTACAAAACAGTCCTTCTATTAAAAAATTAATGCTTAAGTTTGATCCCAGGTAAAGGAAGACAGGGACAATAAGTCTCTTGGTACATCTTTACAGGTAGATCCTTTATTTATTTAGGGCCTGGCCATGTTCCTGCAGAAGACGGTAAAAATTCCCTATGTCAGCAGCCTCCAGTGGGACCCACAGCTGGTACAGCAGCTTGGAGAATGACCAGATCAATACCATGGTCTGGAGATAAGTGTGTGTGTGTATGCAGACACATATACTTTATTGGGAAGGCACTAACAGAGGTTAAGAACATGTATATGCTGGCACTGGACAGTTCCATATTCCAGAATTGCACAGTTCACTCTCAGGGATATTTTCCTATTCCTCCCTTCAGATCTTGGTGCCTTTTGCTGAACACTGGCAATGATTGAGTCTATGTGGGTAAATAACTTAAAACCAAATAAAATTAACAGATGCTTAGGAAAGGTGAAGTAATGAAGTGGGGAGCAGTGAAACATTTTAACCTCAAGTTAAAAATATAATTGTTATGTTTAGTGCAGGTGAACAGCATAATTGGATGTTACCTTTTTATCCTCAGTAAAAAATTGGTCATAGCCATATGAAACGTTTTATTTCCCACCTTTATATATGTACATGTACTTTCTGTAAATCAGTTTAGTTGGTCTCTCACTGTATATTTGCTTGTCCTGTTGGTCTGTGTCAAGCAATACCACAACCCAGGTGGCACTAGATGCAAACCCCCGCAGTCAGGTAGACCCCAAGGTGATGAGAGGGTGCTCTGCAGCCATTCTGCCTATTGTAGAACAAGATAATAGAGGGCAGGCTGAACTGTAGAAGAAAATGACATGCTGATAACTGTTACCACTGGTGGACAAGTATATCCCTTCTTGTCTGATGCTCAGCAATTTCGATTCCATATTAATCTGAGTTCTCAAAGACGTTCAGGCTTTTTCTCCTCACAAAATTTCCTTTCCTGCTTCTGAGTAGTGGGAGGAGATTCTGTGTTTTTTTCTTGGTACCGTCTACTTTTCTGTTGTGATTGGCTGCTTCTGTTTTGTCATTTTGATGACTACTTCTCGCATGTGCCTGCCAGAGTTCAAGAAGTGTTTGGACAATGCTCTCAGACACATCGTGTGATTCTTGGGGCTGTCCTGTGCAAGGCCAGGAGTTGGACTTGGATGATTCTTGTGGGTCCCTTCCAACTGAAGATATTCTGTGATTATATGGGTTGAAATGGGAGCCATGGAAGCAGGCAAGCAGTGCTTCTCCTAACACTCCCTTGCATTGCAGGCTGCAATCTCTTTTGTGCTTCATTTGTATCTTTACAAAATGTCAGCAAAAAATCTTTTCAAAAGTTAGTGCTACAAACCAAATTTCTGAAAGGCATGACAGATAATAATCTCTGCAGCTCTGAGCTGGCTCATAGGCAACAGAGCTGATGAACACTCATGGGTAAGGCATGAGTATCCAGAGTAACTAAAATTTATCAGATGAAATAGTGACTCTGGAAGGGAGTGGAAAAAGCATTCATTTTTAACCAGAGAATGGACATTCAGAAAAGGGAAAACAAGTCATTACACCAGTTCCAGGATTTATTTCTTTTCAATCTTGTTTGACAACTAAAATGTAATAAAATGGAAAAGCAAGGAGGCTGCAAATAATGAGGTACCTATTGCCTAATGCAATACAAAACATTAAATGGAATAACAGCAGCAACTGCAACAACACTTCTCTAGAAATCTGATATGTTTTTACTGGTGTGATTTTGGCCTGACACATGAAATAGCTGCTGCCAGTGAGCAATGGAGATTGATGTCACCACTGTGGAGAAGAGATGGACAAGACGGAATCCATGACTTGATGTGTGTCTTGATGTGTGTCTAGCTACTCACATAATGCTGGAGGCTCCAGCAAACCCGCCTAAGAGAAGCACTTTGTTGTTTTGGTAAGGATAGTTATCAACATAGTTTTGTTTAGTATTGAACCTGTATGTTTTCTGCTGAGATGTAAGCCCCTCCTCCTGTCCCAGGCAAACAGGAAAATTCATGTATTGTCTCTTTCTCATAAAAAATGGCTGTAAGGGATTCATATGAGTCTTCGCCCTACTCCCAGATTTAAAACTGCAGCACAGTGAGACCGTAAAGATGGCATCTTATTGCCATACCCAGTCTATTTTTAATCTGATCTGCTTACTTAAGGAAAAGCGATGTTAGCCTGTGCAGTCCTATTGCCTCATGAGAATAAAATAGGTGAGAAAGTGAAAACAATTCCCCCTTTTTTTCCATTATAAAGCAGTGTCTCCTAAATGGTGAAACTTTGTTCATGCTGCTGATGCACAAGCCTGAAAAATAGTTTCCATCCCTAGGCTGCCTCATGGGGAGTGAGTGTGGGTTTTTTCATAAACCTTTGAATATGATCTGGTGGTGTGCTGTCATGATAGATACAGATTCCCTTAATACCATGAAGATTTTCTCTCTGGAGTATAAATGCACTCTGGAAGAACTGTGAAGCAGCATATTTTCTTTGCACATATTCTTGTTTCTGTTGTTTTCTGTTTTGCAAGGTCTACTTACTAATTGTACAATGGTCTAATAAAGTAATTACTCGGATTTACCAACTGGCAAATTGTTAAATAAGCACAAATATTTTTCATCAGCTTAATTTAAAGGTCTTGCTTCAATCAATGGAAACTTTTCATCAGTTACTTTGTAGAATTTTTGGGTTTACTTGTTCTACTATCATAAAATATCTCAATACTAAAATAATATAAGCACATTCTGCAAAGCTACTAATCACAGAAGAAAGAGAAATATTTAATCTTCAGTGAGAGATATACCAGAGCCAATGTAGCTTGCTAGTCCATGTATTACTACAAGGTCAGAAAAACTGCTGTTTGTAACTTCCATGTTTGCTGTGTATCTCTAAAAAGTTGTGAGCAGAGATGCATATTTTGTTCAGTTTTTTTTATTTGGCTGCTAAGATTAGGCTTAAAAAAATGGCTTCTGTACACTACAATATCTCTGCTTTTGTATAATATTCAGGCGTATTATACCAAGTAAGTCAGAGAACATCCACATCTATTGGAGGAGATAGGGAAGGGAGCTCTTACTCAGCTTTGCAAGGACAAGGTACTATTTATGGACTAATGCAGTCAAAGTGAACCTGAGGCATGTAGAACAGCATGACCACCTCAG